GTGTGTGTGTGTGTGTGTGTGTGTGTGTGAGATAAATGTCTTGTGGGCCGTTTAGCAGCTGGTTTCTGAGGGTTTCTTCCTTTTCTACTTCCCCCCCTTTTCCTCCCTCCACTTCCTCCCGGCTTCGTTAGCGTGGTTATGATAGATGAGCGCGTTATTATGCCGCTACATGAAGCGGGGGAAATCAATGCTCGGTCCTCAGAGGTGTGTGTGAGTGTGTGTGTGTGTGTGTGTAAGTGTGTAAGTGTGTGTGTGTGTGTGTGAGTGTGTGTGTAGTTCTGGATGCTTTCATTGTTTTGGGAGCCAGGGGCTGCAGCTCTCCTTTGACTCAGCAAAAAAAAAAAGCACCCAGACAAACACACGCACACGTGCACGCTCAAACCGTGCACACACCCGCCCACGTGCACGCTCACGCCCACGTGCACGCTCACGCCCACACTCACAGGTTGCACAATCCTGCAGAGGGTCCAGAGAAATCTGGATTATCATCCATTACTTGTTTGGTTCCGCCCTCTCGACTCCTTTTCCAGGTTCAGCCTTTCCCTTCGGCCCTTTGGAGACCCTGAGCTGGACATGAACTCTTAAATTGTGTTAAGAGGAGACCACTTCACCTCTAAGAGCACAGTAAACACGACCATGCATCTTTTTCTTCGGTGTGGTTTCTTTTTTTAGAACCTAAAAGACAGAAATGGAGCCTATTTGACCAACACAGATAAACACACACAGCTTTCAGATACGACTGAAACTCATAAGAAACTTAAAAATGATTATTTTTAAGATTAAAAATAATTATTATTTATAAATAAAATAATTATTATTTTTATTAAAATATTTTATTATTATATTATATTAATTATTATTATTATTATTATTATTATTATTATTATTATTATTATTATATATTTATAATAATCATTATTATAATATATTATTATATAAATTATATATATTTTTAAATAATTATTATTTGTAATTATTAGAATATAATTATTCTCTAATGTATCTTCATTTTAAGAAGAAGAAGAAGAATATACTTTATTGATCTCACAATGGAGAGAGCCTTTTTTTGCCTTTTTTCCTCTCGTGTGTTGTGTTTCTGTTCTGGTCGGTGCTCCATTCTTGTGACTTTTTTTTTATGTATTTGTTGGACAAAGAGAGAAGTGAAGGAACTAAATCGTGAAATAAACAAACGGCAAACTGAGAGGTCCTAAATCTCTTAAATGGGCTTGCTAATCACAACTTTTGAAACAGCAATAATTTTACAAATCTGGTTGCAGCAGTACATCTCTAAGGCTATCTTTCCCTGGAAAAAAACATCTCCTCCATCCAATATGGCGGCTTTCAATTCAAGATCATTTTTTAAAGAATGGTCATTACTTCAGATATGTTAATTTCCCTTTAGTTTGGGGAATAAAATGGTGATTCTGCATCATAACGGCAGCATAAAGAAGCTGCTTTATTATTAGCCCTGTAATTTGTTAAAGATGTTCCACAACGGGCTGATTTGCTTAACCCTTTAAAGCCCGATCCAAGAAAAATAGGAAAAATATTGGATTTATTTTAGTCTGAAGTCTTTCTTTGGCCCCTCAACAACATATGAAGAAAAAAAAACAGAAATTATTTTGATCAAATTAGCGTGCAATAAGTCAAAAATATATTTTGGTGTAGTCTTCTACTGGCTGTTATCAGGTATATCTGAATGTGTTCAACAGGGGTTTGAGCAAAGCTTTTACCACTGAATGATGCAGAAAGTCTCAGATCCAAAAGACTTCAGAAACCGTACGAATCAGATATGATAGATTTGGCATTATAGGGTTAAAGGCAGTTTTTCCTTCCCTGTGTCGCCTAGTGCTTGTTCTTGGTGGGAATGGTTGTTCTTCTGTAAATAACTTCAGAGTCCAGTCTGACCTGCTCTGTTTGGAAAGCTGGGAGATAAATAACTGTTGTTGGGATGTGTCGCTATATAAATAAAATAAAATTGAATTAAGGGAGGGCGGCACGGTGGTGTGGTGGTTAGCACTGTCGCCTCCCAGCCAGAGGGTTCTGGGTGGAGTCCCGGGGGAACCAGGACCAGAGGGTTCTGGGTTCTAGTCCCGGGGGAACCAGGACCAGAGGGTTCTGGGTTGGAGTCCTGGTCCCGGGGGAACCAGGACCAGAGGGTTCTGGGTTGGAGTCCCGGGGGAACCAGGACCAGAGGGTTCTGGGTTGGAGTCCCGGGGGAACCAGGACCTTTCTGGGTGGTTCTGCATGTTCTCCTGTGTCTGTGGGTTCTCTCCGGGTTCTCCGGCTTCCTCCCACCCTCCAAAAACCTGCATGTTAGGTTGGTTGGAGATTGGGGGAAATTGCCCTTAGGAGTGAATGTGAGTGTGAGTGGTTGTTGGTCCTTGTGTGTCTCTGTGTGGCCCTGCTATGGACCGGGAACCGTCCAGGGTGTACCCTGCCTCTCGCCCGTTGACCACTGGGATAGGCTCCAGTTCCCCCCGCGACCCCATGAGGGAATAAGCGGTATTGATGATGGATGGATGGATGAATTGAGGAGGCTTTTGCTGGGGCTCTCGTCTGGCTTTGAAAGAGCTGCAGCATCACCTGGAACCAGCCCGTCTGACACTTTCTGCTGCAGAATAACAGAAATAACAGAGAGGCGTCCTCCCACAGGCCCACTGGGACGGGAGGGAAGTGTCTCCAGTGGCTATCGATCAGGGGGTGGACTCAGCTCAGCTAGGAGGGGAGAAATAAGGGGTTCCTTTGTGTTAGCGTTTCCATAATTCCAGAGGATATGAGCGCGCTCTTATGTTCAGAATGGCCACATCAAATCCTTCCTCTAATACAGTGCTTCTCAAATAGTGGGGCGCGCCCCCCTTGGGGGGCGTGGGGCGATACCTGCGGGGGGCGTGTGACCCTGGGGAAGAGCCTTTTTTTTTTGGGCCGTACTAGCATAAAGTGTAATAGCGCATCCACTCCACTAGGGGCAGTGGCCTCTCATCGCTACTTCAGTGAAACATTTTAAGACTTAAAGACAACAGGTTAGCCTCGGTTAGCATCTGCGACTGTCTGTAGCCTCCGTTATTCAACATAACCCCCCCAACATGGAAAAGTTTTTAACAGGGATGAAAAGAAAAGCAGAGAGAAACAAAGATAATGAGACAAAAGAAATTCACCCGAAAGCTAAGTGTTTTATATATTGTGCTCCTGAGTTAATGTTGCTATTCTTGCTGAATATAAATTAGTTATTATTTTTGTTGTTTTTATAGTTTATTAGTTATTATAATTATTAAATATTATTTATTGATTTTTATTTAATTTTGCAACGGTGCAATTAGTTGGTCAAACATGTTTACAGTTTTAACAAGGATTTATTTATTTTTAATTTCAGGCATTGATGCACTTAAAATCTTTTCTGTTG